AATATCTCTTTCTTTTGTTCTCTCTCTCTCTCTCCCCCTCCCTCTCCCTCCACCCCCAGCCCCCCCCCACATATTAATTTGCTAAGTCGTTCAGGGTCAGCTTGAGCAATCCTCCTGCCTCAGACTCCTTTGAGTCCTTAAGCCACCTTTAGTTGAATATTCTGTTATTTAAAGCCAAACACTTCCTAATTGCTATAGGAAATAAAAATTAGAACTTTTAATTAAGCATTCACCATCAGTCATCCATAAAATAAAAGTAAATAATGATAACCCATAACCAAAACAATTATGTCATAAAAGTAGAGAGAAAAGTATGCTAAGATATTTGTTCTATTTGGAGACATATGTAGATACAGTATTATTTCTGAATGCACAGGAAAATTTGTCAATGATGCGAGATAAATATAAGGATCACTATATAAATGAGTATTAGTTAAATATGTACACATTACTTGAGTAGAAACAGTGGAACAAGGACAATGTGGTGAATTCAATGAAATGAATAATAGAAAATATAAACCAGAATTTATAATGTAAAGGACATAATTTTAAGTATTTAGGTCTACCTAGCATCCATTCCAGTTTTGTATACTGAGGTGGGCAGCACCATGTTCCCTCAAAGATTTCCACATTCCAGTTCCTGAAACCTGTAACCATGTTACCTTACAAGAAGAAGGATTTTGCAGGTGTGATTATACTGAGTGATTTGACGTGGGGAGAGCATCCTAGATTATGAAAGTGGACCCAAATAATCATAAGATTCCTTAAAAGTGAAAAGGGAAGCAGAAAAGACTTAGAGGAAGATATGATGTGGAAAAGGCACAGAAAAATGCAATAGTGCTGACTTTGCAAATGAAGGAAGGGACCACATGCCAGGGAATGAAAACAGCTTCCAGAATAGGGCTCTTCCAGAGCCTCGGGAAGGGAATATAGTCCTTCTGACTGACACCTGCATTTCAGCCCAATAAGAACAATTTTGAACTTCTGAACTATAGACTGTAAGGTAATAAACTTTGTGTCAGAGGCTGTTTTTCACAATAGTGATAAAATACCAATACAGACTTCCTTTAGCCACATTTCCTTTTGAATGTAATTGTCTCTTTTCCTTTAATTCAGGTGATCAAGAATATTACTCAAGTTTTCTGCTCATTGATTGCCAAAGGCTGAGGAGGTGTCTGAAACCGGAATAGTGGAAGGAGGCAATGCCTTCATTGAAACCTGGAATTTAAGGAGGCAACAAGGTTGAAAGAGGTTAGCATTCATTCATTTCATCGTATCATGTTATCCATAAGGTGCCTACTAGAGAATATTTCTCCTTCCAGTTCCTAGGAGTAAGAAGTTATATTCCTTATTTCCTGCTCATTTCTAAGCTTGGTACTTTGTCCTAATTATTTATTGCTGTGTAATAAACCACCTCAAAATGCAGAGCCATAAAACAATAATGGTTATTTCCTCAGATCATAAATCTGCAATCTGAGCAGGGTTTGGTGGGGAAGCACCATGTTCTTGAGAGAGCTAGGGCCGAAGGATGCACTTCCAAAATGGTTTGATGTGATACCTAGCAAATTTGGTGCTGGGCTGTCAGAGGTGCTGAAGGCTGGGAACTTCAGTTCGTCTCCAGGTGGGTCTCTCTGGGGGCTCTTTGGCTTCTTCTTGACATGGTGGTTGATTTTCAAGAACAAGCATTTCCTGAGAACCAGGGAGAAGGTGTATTACCTTTTCTGCCTTAGCCTCAGCAGTCACGTAGCTACAGCTCCACCACTATCACAAATCTACCTTCAAGAGGAGAACACATAGACCCCACCTTTCAAGAGAAGGAATATTTAAGAAGCATTGATAATGAGTACATTGGACAAAAGATAGTGGTGCATTATTTTTGGAAAATAAAACCTACTCATGTCCTTTAAGCCTCACTATCAGTTCCTTGTCCTTAAGTGTCCTGCCTATTGGCTCATGTGAAGCAGAGGGGGCCTCTGTTTTTGCTTAGAACCAAAGAATAAGGTATCTGGCATTAGTACAAGCCTATCAGAATGAGGATAAACATTTAAATCCCTTCATAAAAGATAGCAGCTCTCAGAGTATACAAAAACAAAGCAAAACAATCCCCATAAATTAAGAATACACATGTATTTCAAGTCTCCCATAGCAAATTGACAAAATTTCACAAGACTATAAACAAAATTTAACAAGACTATAATATAACCAAGTTTGATAATTTCCAAAAAGTATCACTTATACATACCACATTCTCAGACCATACTATTAGGAGATTTAAACATTCACGTAACAGGCTTCTTTTATACTGCTACATTATCAACTAGATCTAACTAAATGTGTAATATACAATTCTTAGACCTCTTTCACTAGAATGGCCGTCCTATTTCCCTCATTGTACTTAAACTTACTCCCAGAGGCCCAATCAGAAATTTATCACCATCTTAAACAGCTCTTCTTGGGAAAATAAAAACTCTATTTTTCTATTGTCCTGTTAATCACCCTATACCTATGGCTTCCTGGCAATCTTCTCTGCCATTACTGCCATTTTCTGTCTCTCACAGATACCATGTCTACAGCATTAAGCATTATTTTCCAACCAGGCTCCCCTCTCTTCTTTCTGTTTCTGTACTGGACCTCTGAGTGTTTAAGAGTCTATTGCTCAATAAACATTTCTTATAATCAATTCTGAGAGAAAGAGGATGGTGTTTGGAGTTGAACTGCCTGAGGTCAAATCCTAAAAGAGAGAAAGAAAAATAATGCAGTTGTTTTCTTGTTTTAATTTCTTGTTTCCCATAGATAGACAGATAGATAGATATGTTTTTAGTCCACTCTTGGAATAATTATGCCAAGTAACTATATCTCTTTTGTCTTAAGTAAGTTTGGAGCAAGTTTCTTAATTATCTAGCATTACTGAAGCCCAAACACAAACACTTTATCTAAAATACCAATATTATATTTTCTCTAAATAAAGAAAATTATTTTTACAAAAATTTGGCAAGTACTTCCAAAACAGAATTTTCTGTTTTCATTCTTTGAGAATTTCCTAACAACAAATATGTATAGAAATTTTAATATGTAGCTATTAACCTTCAATATTTATTATAAAGCTTTCATTGTTCATTTTTTGGAAGTTTCTTGATCTCTTTAAATGCTAAAGAAGTTTTAAATCTAATTACAGTTTAGCTAAATACTAAGAGTTTTTAGCTTGCTTTTCCAATAGTTTTAGGATCTTAGTGTCTTTTTTGTTTTTTGTTGTATTTTCAGTAGTACATGTTTGCAGTACATAAAGATCACATTCATTATGGGGGATTTGTACATGTACAAAACATACCTTAATTTTTTTGATCTGATTCCCCTCCCCTCCCTCCAAACCTTCTTTCATTCCCCATTTGCAATATATCTATTTCCATTTTTTCCCTTTGATTATTTTTTTCTTTAAATCTTTTTCCCTTCCTTTCCTCCCCCTCCTCCTATCTCTTGTTACCCCTTCCATTTGAATAAATGCAATGAAGCATTCCATACATGTCTGGTCAACGACCAAACATATGGTAACAGAAATGATGAAAGCACATTTATTCTGACCACCAGGTCCCTTCCAAACTCTGTCAAAAGCCTTGGGTGTTTTGCACCCTGCTGGCTATTTCTATTCATTTCAATATATCTTTTCTATAGAACAATGTCCCATTTAATTTTAGATCTAGTTTCATTTCAAGTCCACATATTTGGCATGACACAATCCCACAAGTTAGCCAAAGCTGAAGGAGAGGAAGGGAGCCCAGTTGGATCTTTACATGAAGTCATGGGTAAATAAAACTTTTTATCAGACTCTTAAAGCTGTAAGGGACCTCAGGGATAACCAAGACCAAACACCCTCATTTTACAGATAAGGAAATCAAGGTCCAGAGACACTATGGCCTTGCTCAGTGTCACAAAGTCGACACAGGAAAGGACTTTGAGGAGTGAAGTTTTTGCGCTTTAAAAAAGTCGGGGGGGGGGGGTGCGGAGCAAGCCTGTATTTATCATTTTTGTTTCCCTGCATATTCCTGATTCAATGTTCCTTCTACAATGTCCTAATAGGCCCCAAACATTTAAAGTATTATCTACTTGTGTTGTGCTTTTTATTTTAAGGAAACTGTAAAGTACACAACTGGTGGTATTTCCCTTAATATGTGGGCCGCCTAAAGCTCCAAGCCAAATGTGTCTATTTGTAGTGGCTGTTATTGGCTCTAGAGTGGGAAGAAGAGCTAAAAACAGATCCAAGAAGCTTGTTTGAGTGGGATCTTAAAGCCAGAGAACCAGGGAGCAAAGAAAGGAATAAGGGGCTGTTTGGATAATCAGCCAGAGAGGGTAGTAACCAAACCTTTCCAGAGATCTGTCTCACACTCATCATGTGATTACATGGGTAAAATTTAAGGTACATACTGGAAAATGTTTTATCTCTCTTATAATACTTGAGAGATCATATTGTAGTTGCTGGTTTTCTCTTCTACTATGAACCTGTTGATTACAACGATTTTGTTTTTTTGGTTCAGTTCAGTTTTTTTCTGGCACCTAGCATAAAGCCTGCAATATTAACAGTGTTTAATAAGAACTTGAATAAAAGCGGTGCATATTAAAAAAAATGGGTCAATAAATCATGAAGTCTGGTGTAGGAGCTGATAAAGGAATACATAACTAGCCACTCTGAGGCCACTAAATTTTAGATAAACCATTTAAGGCCCCTAAGTGTGAACATTTTGTATTTTTGTGATTTTACCTGACTAGTGGATTCTGAGAATAAACCAGGAGTTTCATGGTCAGTACTGTATCAAATGTGATAGTAAAAATCAGTTGTAGATCCATCATTCTCATCCATTCACAAAGAGTATAAATCCATCCACTTATACTTATATCCATTAATTAAAAACATATACTGAGGGCTCGGAATGTGGCTCTGTGGCACTGCACCTGCATGGATCTGAGTTTGATCCCCAGTACCAAAAAAAAAAAAAAAAAGGGAGAGGGCAGGCTCAATTACCATGTAGATTCAGAATATTAGGGAGTAAGGTTCAGAATCTTCACTTTTAACAAGTACTCTGCTTGCTTTTGTCCCCATACTCAAATATTTATTGAGTACCCATGATAAACAAAGCCCTACTTGGTTAGATTGAGTAAATAACAGAAGTAATGGAAATAGATTACAGTTCTACAGGAGACCAAAGCCAGCCATATAAATAAACATAATATAACAGGTTAAAAGCCCAGCAGAAGAACTGAGAGATGTTGAAGGGATTCAGGACCGAGCTCAAGTCATTCAAAGAGAACAACAAAGGATCTGAAAGCTGGTTGGACAAAAGTTCTAGACTTTTACAGATGTTGTCGGTGAGTTCTCAGCACAGCAAAGGTGCTTAGCATTTATTGTCTTCCACTCAGTCATTTATCATTGAAGTAGCTCAGTTACACCACGCTGGAACTTCTGGAAGCTCTAATAGAATCTTGACCAAAGGATCCTCCTGTGGAACAGTGGTATGGCCTGAATGTTTGCCTTCCCAAAAACACATATGTTGAACCCTAAGTTACATTCTAGAGGATAATATGAAGAGGTAGGTAGGTCGTGTTTGGAGGACTTAAATCATGAAGGCAGAAACTTCATGAAAGGGACTTGTGACCTTAGAAAAGAGATTCTAGATAGCTAGCCACCCACACAGGAAGAAGGCACCATCTATGAGAACTGAATCTGCTGGTCACTTGACCTTGAACTTCCCAAACTCTCAAACTGTAAGAAATAAACTTCTGTTGTTTATAAACCACACAGTTTAAGATATTTTTTATAGCAGCATGAACACACCAAGGCTTAGCCAAAGCAACAGGCCAGCCTTGCTCTGGGAAGAAAGTAGAGCTCTTGGCTTTTCTGTTTTTGCTTTTCATCAGTGCATGTTTGAAATGCATAATGTTTGCATTTCTGTGTGGGTGTTGAGTTGGTAGATATGCATAACACATACTAATTATCTCTTTATATTATTTTTTCATCCTCTTTCTCCTCTCCCTCCTCCCTCTCTCCATTTCTTGATCCCCTTCCCATTTGAGAAAGAGCTATCTTCCAACTTTCTATTATTTTTTATTTTGTTCTTTATTTATAATCTGAGCTTCTTATATAAGAGAAACCATGCAATATTTAAACTTGCATGTCTGATTTATTTCACTTAACATTATAGTCTCAAGGAGCATCCATTTTCCTACAAATGACTCAAGTTTATCTTTCTTTATGGCAGAGTAGTGCTCCATTGTTCATAAGTACCATATTTTCTTTATCCATTCATCTGTTGATGGACATATAGGCTGCTTCCAAGATTCAGATAGTATAAATTGTGCTGCTATATACATGGGTATGAGTGTATCACTGTAGCATGGTGTTTTTAACTCTTGTGAAGGTATCTATAAAGGGAATAGCTGGGTCAAATGGGGTTCCTGCTTTTAGTTTTATTTAGGAATCTCCATACTGATTTCCATAGTGGTTGTACTAATTTAGATTCTGACCAATAATGTAGAAGTGTTCCATTTTCCCCACAGCATTCCCAGTTATTTGTTATTATTTGATTTCTTCATAATGTCCATGATTTCTGAGATCAGATGGAATCTCAGTATTGTTTCAATGTGCATTTCCCTAATGGCTAGCAATATTGAACACTTCATGTATTTATTGGTCATTTGTACTTCTGTGAAGTGTCTATATATTTTGCTTGCCCATTTTTTCATTGGGTCTTTTATTTTGGGTAATTTTTTTCGTTCTTTATATAGTCTAGATATTATTCCTTTGAGCAATAGCCGCAAAAAAATTTTTCCCAGTCTGGAGGTTGTCTTTTCAAAAAAGTGTGTTGGGGATCCTATTGAGCAAAGGGAAATTCATAGTGTTAGAGAACAGTTACAGGAAAAAAATGAACAAGAAAAAGAAGAAAATAGAAAAACAGAGAGCGAAATATGGGAAATAAAAGAAAGATAAGATTGAAGAGAAGAAAAAGAGTTGAAAGGGGACAAGAGAAAAGGAGAGAAACTAAAAGAAAAAAAGGTTCAAAAAAGGGAATTAAAAAACCCAGACACCCTCAAGAATCTGTTGAAGAAAAGCAAAAAATGATAAATATAAAAATCAAAATGACTGATTCAAAGAAAAAAATTCTTCCATGTTTTTGAGTGAGTGGTTTCTTTCTAGGATCTGCAGTTTAGGAATCCAGCCAGTCATAATTTTCTCAGCTTGCCTTTAGTGCATATGTGTTTCTGAGGCGCCCTCCCTTCACCAGAGGCCCCTCTGTCCATTCATCCCAGACAGTAATGACCAAGCAAGCCAAGGATCCTTGCTCATGTTGGTAGATGGGAAATGCAATCAGTCTTCTGGTCCCTGGTGGGTGTGGGCTGTGGGGCAGAGATTCAAATGAACTTTGGGACTCAAAGTCAATACTTGCGGGGTCTGCTTGTTCCTTAGAGAGAAAGGCCCATGTCCTTCTCAGCCTCACCTATACTTCTCAGGGTGATCTGCACCTGGCCCAGTCCCTCTCCACAGTGGTCTCTAGCTGTCTCTCACCCAGTCGTTTTGGGAGGGTAACCCTGGAGTCCCTGAGTCCCTGTACAGCAGTCCCTGGGCCTTCTGGCTTTCTGGGCCTACCTTTTCTTCCCAGACTTTGTCTTCATTCAGGATCAGGTTGGTTAGTCAAGGGCCAACAGAGGCCAAGGGGAAGCAAAACACAGCACAGGATTGGAGTTGGTGGATGGTCACAGCACATAGGAGGGAGGCTGTTTGCTGGGAGTGGCTTTTAAACAATCAGGCTGTCCTTTTGTCCTGTTGTTTCATCCTGTTAAGTAATACCAGAAAGTTCTGTTTCTAGCATAACATCAAGAACATGGAACATGGAATCTATGCTACTCTCTGCCCATAGACTGGTACAGGTGGAAAAGAAAGTATGAGTCCATTCTATGGTGAGGCTTTGTTTGTTTGTTTGTTTGTTAAATCCCTCTAGCAGATAACACAAATCAGCTCAAATTCATCCCACTAAAGTCATGCCTTGCAGTTGCTCTATTTTTTGGTGAATATGTCCTGGCAATGGGAGGTTTGCTCTACTTAAAATTCCAGCTTGAAAGACCTCTGCAATTTGTGAAGAAAACCTTTCTGGTGATTCTTTTATTTTTTTCAATTCTTACTTGAAAAATTCAAAGCATATGCAAAAATAGAGTATACGTTATTTTTCTGTATACATCCCAAGCATTAACAGCTATCAGCATGTTACCATACTTAATTTTATTTATCTTCCCTCCTTACGCTTTTTTTTTTGGTCAGATTATTTCAAAAGAAACCTTTGAGATTCTTACTTTACCTATAAATATTTTCGTAAGCATTTCAAAAGGGGGAGAGAGGCTAGAATGTATGCTAGTCTTAGTGATGTGCTTCTAATGCATAAGGCACTGATGGCGAACCTTTTAGAGCTTCCAGTGATAACTAACAGCCCACTGCAGCATGTGTGCCATAGGTTCACCACCACTGGCATAGAATATGAAAAGGGAGAGGGAGGATGGCTGCTTTATAGTGCAGAAATCCAGCAAATGCTGCCTTAGCCAGTGATCAAGGTTAATGTCATCAGTGATAAATCATGTTGATAGCAAATACCCCTGATCTCATGTAATGATAAAAGTACTAGTACAATCTGAGTAAACTGTGTGTGCCAGTTAACATTAATGTATCAATATTGGCTCCTCAGTTGAGACAAATTTACCTCAGTAATGTAAGATGTTCTTTTTTTTTTTTTTAAGTGATCTTCCCGTCACCCTCTTGAGTTGGTGGAACTACAGGTACACACTGCTATGCCTAACTTTGTGTGAATTTTTTTTCCCGTTAAGTTTATTGGTACATTTTAGGTATACAATACAGTTACATTCATCACTGGGATCTTGTACCATTACTGAGTATCTTGGTTCTTATTTTTTTTCCCCATCCCCTGCCCTCCCTTCATCCCCTCCACCCTTCCCTATTTGCAAAGACTTTGTTTCCATTTTTTTCCTTTTCTCATATTTTTTCTTTTCCCTCTTTTTCTTTCCCCTACCCCTCCCACTTCCCTTGCTCCTTTAGACCTTTTCTTCCTATTACACAATATCAATTATACATTTTTAAAATTACAATATCAAGATCTAGGCGACATTACCACAGATTTTACAGAATTTAAAAGGATATAGAAAGCATATTACAAAAATCTTTTTTGAAATAAATTTGACAACTTCTAAGAAGTACCTTGGAAGACAAATTAATGAAACTAACTCTGGAGGGAATATAAAATTTGAGTAGCACCTATTAAAGAAAGTATATTCCTAGCTTGAAAAACTACCTATATGACAAACTACCTATATGATGTTCTTAATAAGAGAAAATGGATACAGAATGTATAGGAAACTTGGTATAATCTTTATTCAGTATTCTATAATTTTTAAAGTTTATCATTTAAAGAAGGAAGGGGTAGAACAACCACAACGTCACTCTCCTACTTAAAATAAAAAATTATACTAAACCAGGTCAGAGATGGAACATTTTTTGCATAACACAATTTATAATCACTTTCAGCAAAGATACTTGCATTCACGGTAAAAAAATTTTAAATATTTTTCTGGTAAACTTTAACACAATTAAGTCTTATTCTTGAAACAAGTTATTGATCCACCCAAATGACTGCCAAGGGTTGAGTGAATTTTAGAAATTATTTTTTAAGCTATTTTATATTGAATACTAGGCTCTTTTTCCGCAAAGTAGGACAGTGAAGCTTGGAACAGATCTGCTAGGTTTTTTTTCCTTACACGGTACCAAAGTTTTATGATATGATAAAAGTTTCACATAGGTACATAATTAAATTATTGGAAATTTTTCTTTAATAGCACCTAAGTAAATGATTCGCTAATATCATCCAAAATCTAGTAACATTTTATTTGGTTGCTATATTCAGATTTTTTTTCTTTTTTTGTTGTTTGTCTGTTTGCTTTTGAGACAGGATCTTGTTATGTAGTCCAGGCTGGCCTTGAACTCATAACAGAGCCCAGGCTGGCCTTGGACTTGTGGCAATCCTCCTGCCTCAGCTTGCTTAGTGATGGGATTATAGGCATGCGCCACCACACCCAGCCAGATTATTTTTTAAATTTACTAAAATTTGGGGAACATGGGCCTTTTTTGGACAGAGATTGAATGAATGGATTAACAATTTCTGGATCTTCCTATCAAAGGAAAATCAAAGTGTATCATCAAGGGCATGGACATTTTTGAATGTTTAATTATTAACACACTATTAACTGCATAACTGGATTTTAAGCCACCATGAATATCAAATTTAAATTGACCCACCTTTCATTTGAAGAATTGTTAAGAGTGAATTTAAAAGTTCTGAGAAATTTCAGCTATGATTATTGAGTTTATAATAATTAAAATACTGTAATCATTTTATTTGGGGAATAAGCCTTAATATCTAGGATTTTAATATTGGTCCCATCTGTCAGCCATTGATTTAGGGAGTTGCTGGAATCATATGACACTGCATGTTGGGGCTGGGGTTGTAAGAGAAGTCCTCTGGGAGTCTGCCAAAATATCAATGAGTTCAGTTTTTGGACACTTTAGATAATTTGGAAGCTATAGACCATTTCCCCAGGGAAAAATATATGTGTATACATTTAACATTTTTGTGAAATAATTTCTGGGGGTTCAGCAAGCACTTGAAGCCTGTTAGAGAGTTTGAGGTCTTGGTTAAGAGCACGTGTCTTAAGTGTTTCTTCCCAATTTGGCATTCTGCTGTGCACAAGGAGGCCACTATGAATAGGACGTGCATACTTACTCATTTCATTGTGAGAGTGCACTGCACTTGGCCAAGGCCTTCAGACATGGACTGGAGGAATACAATCTGTAGTCACATGATATAGTTGGAAAACCATACATTTGGTCGCAGATGGCTTAGATTCTGCAAGTGACTCTACTTTTGAAGCAATCATTCAATCCTTTGGGAAGACAAAGATAGAGTCAAGGTTAGGAACTTATTGTGCAAAGAATTGTGCAATATTGTCATTCCCATTTCACAAATTCTGGAACTGAGATTTAGAAAAGTTAACAAGTACATCTAAAGAAATATCTGCTAATGAATATTCAGTCAAGCTTGTCTAAATCTGCAACTCATGTTTTTTCAGATCGTACTTTTGGTTTTCGAACTTGTAGTACTCAGGATTGAACCCAGAGCCTAGTGCATGCCAGTCAGTGTATATCTGATTGCTTAATAAGAATTTGCTAAAGTGCTAAGATGCTTGAAAACCACTGCATTTCACTCTGCTGATCAGTTTTTACATCTGCAATAGAGGTATAATATCTCCTCTTTTTGAGAGATAAGTTAAAAGATGATAAACAGCTGTATAAACTAGTAGTTACTATATGGCAATAACAGAGGATTTCTTTAAAAATCTTAACTACAATCAGCTTGCAATCTTGGCAATATGTTTCACACAAATGAGCAAACATGTTGGCTTTCACATGCTTTTTAGGCAGCAGTTTAGTTTTGAGAGCTTTATTTCAAGGGTGATGCCTTAATACATTTTTGAATGTTTAATTATTAACACACTATTAACTGCATAATTGGATTTTAAGCCACCATGAATATCAAGTTTATTTAAAGTGATCTACCTTTCATTTGAAGAATTGTTAAAAGTGAACTTAGAATTTCTGAGAAACATCAGCTATGATTATTGAGTTTATAATAATTCAAATACTATAATAATTTTATTTAGGGAATAAGCCTTAATATCTAGGATTTTAATATTGGTCTCATCTGTTAGCCATTGATTTAGGAAGTTGCTGGAAGCATATGACACTGTGTGTGGGGGCTGGGGTTGTAAGAGAAGTCCTCTGGGAGTCTGCCAAAATATTTAAAGCATGGTACCCAGTCAAAGGAGAGACTTACTGGGTATTGCCAACGGACTTGTGGGTAGAAATAGCACCTTCTATAATTGAAATGCAGTTGGCTGTCCTTGTCCAGGAGTTCCACATTCCTGGATTCAACCCAGTGCAGGTTGAAAATATTTGGAAAAAGATGCATCTGTACTGAACATATACAGACATATTTTTCTTGTCATTATTCCCCAAACAATACAGTGTGAAAACTATTTACACAGCATTTGCACATTTTACATAAGAGACTTGAGCATGTGCAGAGTTTGGTATCCCAGGTGGTGCTCTGGAACCAATTCTCCCCAGATACCAAGTGACGACTTTATGTCTTTCATAGTTGGAAAAATAGTCTCATTTCCCATTGTGAAAAAAAAAAACCTGAAAAAAATGCAAAAAAATAAAAACCCTCTTGTGTGTTGGCACTTCAAAAACAAAATCATTTTCATCATGGACTCATTAAAACATTCTGAAAAATTTTAAGTGATAATATCAATAATCTATTTTCTCTTCCACACCAACATCTACAGCAAAACCAGCTGAAAGTCTTTGGTGAAACCATAAAGTATATAAGGTTTTTCTGTGGCTTTCTCTCACCTTCCTCTCCCTTCCTTCTTCCATCTCACAGAACTCCCAGCCCCCTCCCTCTTCTTCTAATCCTGAGACTCCTCCTGGGCTGGGGGATACTTTATTCCCCCAGACTCCCTTCCTCTGTAGTACTCAGAACCACACTGACCTTTCTTCCTGTTTTGATGAGCCAGACTCTATCTTTCCTTGCTCCTAACTTCAACTGGGTGCTGTTGTCTGAGCTATCATTTATCTTTGGTTCAGTCCTTGTCACATTCTCTGGCATCCCTTTCCAAATTTTCCTTGCCTTCCAAACCCCACCACACAACCTTACCTGGAGATCTTTCTCTAAGAGATTTTGCAAACACACTGGAACAGTGGAGGCTGCCTGATGCTTGGCCACCAGTGTATTCTTTGTAAATGCACCCCTGGGGTGTGTGCAGTGAACACGTGTGAATGTGGCTGAGAGATGTGCAAGGTCACAGTCCCAGATGAGATCATCTAAAGGGAATGTCCAGAGCTTAACCTCATTTCTCTTCAAGACTCATCTTCATTTTCACTCCTCTCTTAGGATGGCACCCCTTTCCTTGTAGAGGACATGCTTTTGAATTAAACAGACCTCAGTTTGCACTGTGACAATGCCACTTTCTACCTGTATGACTTTGGGAGTTCATTGAGTCTTCTTGGATTGTTATTGTTCTTATTATTTTGGTGGTGCTGGAGAAAGAAATCTAGGGTAGGGCCACGTGCAGGCTGGAAAAGTGCTCTACCTCTGAGCTACATCCCCAACCACTCTCCCTCCCTTTTAGTTTATGAAAAAAAGAGGACTATGCTACCTTTTAACCTCATGACACTATCCTGTGGATTAAATGAGATGGTGTTTTAGCGTGCTAGCCAAGGAGTATGCTAAGTCAAAGTTTCCTGTTAATCTAATTCTTAATTCTTTTTTTAAATTTTATTGCTACATTTTAGGTATACAATATAATGACATCGTTGGAAATTTGTACCTTTACATAATCTCTCTTGGTTCTTATTTTTTCCCCATTACCCTGCCCTCCCTTCAACCCCTCCATCCCTCCCTATTTACAAACATTTTGTTTCCATTTTTAAATTTTCTCATATTAATTCCATTCCCTTCTTTCCTTCCCCCTACCCCTCCCACTTCCCCTTTCCCTTTGCCCCTTTTCTTCCTATTTCACATTATCTATTATATCTTAGTCCTTATGTGCACTTTCAGTTTCTCACACTAGAGAAACTACTCAGCATTTACACATGTGTGTCCTATTTATTTCACTTGATTATCCCCTCAATGTTCATCCATTTAGCTATAAATGCCTCTAAGTTCACATTTTTTATGTCTGAGTAGTACTCCATTTTATAAAAAACGACATTTTCTTTATCCAATCTCCAATTGATGGGGAATTGGGCTGCTTCCAAGTTTTAGCTATTACAAATTTTGCTGCTTTGTACATGGGTGCACATATATCACTGTGGTATGATTCTTTTAATTCTTTGGGGAATAGGTGGGTCAAATGGGACTTCCAGTCCTAGTTTTTTGAGGTATCTCCATATTGATTTCCACAATAGTTGCACAAGTCTACACCCCCCACCAGCAGTGGAGCAGGGTTCCTCTTTCCCCACAGCCCTGCCAGCATTTGTTATTGGTTGATTTCATGATAGCAGCCATTCTTTCTGGGGTGAGGTGGAATCACAGCATTGTTTTCATGTGCATCTCTCAAATGACCAGTGAGAGTGAACATATTTTCATATGTTTATTTGCTATTTCTACTTCTTTGTCTGAGAACTGTCTGTTCATTTCAGGTGCCCATTTTCAGATTGGGTCTTTAAATTTGGGAGGTCTGATTTTTTAAAAGTTTTTATAGATTCTACATTGTAGATCTTTGTCTAAGGAACAGCAGGTGAAAATATTTTCCCACATTGTGGGTTGTCTCTTCACACTGTTGATTGTTTCTCATGCTGTGCAGAAGCTTTTTAATGAGAAGAGATCCCACTTATTGATTGTGCTAGTTCATGGGCAACTAAGGTTTTGTCCATAAAATATTTTCTTACACCAATGTCTTCAAGAGTTCTACCTAACCTCTGTTCCAACTGGTTCAGCGTTTCTATTTTAATATTTAGATCTTTAATCTATTTCGATTTTAGTTAGTGCATGGTGAAAGATATAGGTCTAGTTGTAATCTTTGGCAAGTTGAAACACAATTTTTCCAGCACCATTTATTAAAGAGGCTATCTTTCCTCCAGTGAAGGTGCTTGGCTCCTTTATTGAAGATGAGATGTCTGAGTGTGTCTGGAGTTGTTTTGGCATCTTCTAATCTGTTCCACTGGTCCAAAGGTCTGTTTCTTTGCCAGTACCTCACTGTTTTTATCACAGTGGCTTTGTAGTATAGTTTCAAGTTGGGGGTTGTGATACCCCCAGCCATGTCTCTGTTGCCTAGAATTGCTTTTGCCATTCTAGGTCTCTTCTTGTTCCAAATGAGTTTTTGGATTGTTTTCTCAAGGTCCATCACTCACTCATTAAGATAGGGAACAAGTAGGAGTTTGTTTGAGAATGGGGCAAAGTGACAAATTCTGCCTGAGCCTACTGAGTTTGGGTTCCTATACATTTGGAAACCCAGGAAATAAAAAAATAAGAAGACATTAAGAGTCAACAGCACATGGAGGGTAATTTTATTTCATAGGGCATATACAGCAATGTTTGAAGACATTTCTGGTCATCTCAAGGCGGGATAGGAGTGTGGATTTGAGTGTGGGCCCAGATATGCATGTGCACAACTGGAATCCAGTGAGTAGAAGCCAGGAATGCTACTAACCCATCTATATTGAACAGGGCAGCCCCCAACAAAAAATAATTATCTATCTCAAAATGCTGTAAGGCTTAGGTTGAGAATCTCTGACATGAGTGGGAGATATACCAATGATCATGGTGCTAGTGCTAATCTTTCAACTGTTCAAAATAGTTTTTAAATTTTATTATAGAGAATTTGGATTGAAGCTAAAATATAAGAGGAAAAAAACACCAGTATTTCAACTAGTCAACAATAAATTATTGTTAGTGGTAATCAAATCTTATGACTGTGACTAGGATATACTTGAAAACCTTACATGGATGACTAAAAACCATGCTTCATCTTCCTAGAGTCAGCAAATCAAAACAGAATGTTGTCATTATTCAGTACTTGAATTTTTGTGCAAAATGCTTTCAGAAGGAGGAAAGGAAGCAAAAGTGAGGAAAATAGACATTTATAGATCATTTGTTATGAGCCAGGCACTATACTGAGCACTCTTTGTACATAATCTTGTCCAGGTTGGAATCAGCTGTTTTAGATTTAAGGTTTATTTATGTCACGTGGTAACTAATTTTATTCATTCATTTAATCATTCATTTCTCCACTCAGCAAAGCTTTGTTAGACACCTACTCTGTTCCAAACACTATTCTGGACTATACAGATACAGAAAGAAAGAAGGT